TAGAGAAAATAGTTTATAACATTTTAAATGAAGATTTATTGTGATTGCACCTTTTTATTTTTGAAACCAATTTGGTTGTCTTCCTTTAAACAATTTTGCTGGATAATTATTCACTTGTTTTATTTTTAAAATTTCATTTCGCTTACTCATTCAACTTTTTTTTTTTGCCTTTAATTTTCTTAAGTTTTTAGAATTTCTATTTCAGCATTTAGTTGAGATTTTTGAAGTTAATTGTTTAGGTGCTTTTTCAGGGTTGCACCCAATGCTTTTATTTGTTCTTTCTCTTTTTCTTGATGAATGTTTTTAGAGATATTAAGTTTCCCTTCAGCATATTGAGTTTTCATATGTAGTCACATCATTGTCATTTTCATTACTGAAATTTTCTATTATTTATTTTATCTATCTTTTGACCTATGACTGTCTTTTTAGGATTAAGTTATTTAGTCTCTAATTTTTAATACCCTATTCAATGACATTTAGTTGAATATTATTAAAAGTTTGGCTTTTATGCCCTAATTGCATTATAAATTTTTGTAAGTATGCCATACACAGCTGAGAAATATCTCTATATGAAGAGGGAGTGTGTGTGTGTGTGTGTGTGTGTGTGTGTTTGGATATATACATATATAGGTATATGCATACGTATATGTGTATATACATTCCTTTATCTTCCCAGTCAATAATGATCGGAGAACTATCGTATCTCATTTTATAAAAATTCTGTTCAGGCTGTTAATGTCTTTCCTGTTTATATTTTGAGTAGATTTGTCTATGTCTGAGAGAGGTGCACTGAAATTCTCAATTATTACTGTTTTACTGAATATTTCTTCCTGTAAATTAATTTGATTATTTATTTTTCTGGCCTCAACTTCCTTACAGCTTACTTATATTGTTTGCCCAGGTGTAAGCTGGATCTATTGCTACTTCTGTACCTGCTAACATAGTGGCAATCTGAACTGTGACCCCCATCCTTGTTATAAATCCCTGAACTACAGTATACATGACCTAGATCCAGCTTCAGAGTCACACAGCTGCTGGGTGTCACCTGTTACTACTTCCTAGTTCCTACCAGTTGTCCTAGTATACAGATGCTGCATATAGATAGACAGATCTAGATTTATCTATGTTTCTTTCTATCTCTCTATCTTATCTTTCTCTCTCTCTCTATCTATCTAATCTTCAATGCCTACAGGCCTCTGGCTGTTTTCTTATGCTGAACTTGCCTGGAAAATGACTTATTGTGGTATCTCCATGGATTTCCTGATCCAATTTCCTCTGTCTGAAACTCTTCCTACATATTTATTGTAGTGGAAAACTGTGTTATACTGCTTCCTTCTAGTCCACCATCTTTCCTGATCTACTGCTTTCAGTATTTAGATGCTATGCCATTTGGTGCATAACTATTAAGTAACAATATTAATTTATTGTCTATGGTACAATTAAGTACAATGGAGTTCTGGGTTTATCTCTTTTAATCAAGTTGATTTTTATTGTTGCCTTGTCTGAGATCGTGTTTGATAGCTTTGCCTTTTTGAGTTCAGCTGAAGCAGAACAGATTTTGATCCATTCTTTATTTTACTTCTATGTGAATATTTTTATTTCAGATATTTCTTGTAAACAACAATTTGTTGGTTCTGATTTATAATTAGTTCTGCTATCTTCCTCCATTTTATAGGTGAGTTCATCCCATTAATGTTCAGTTATTACTACTTATTGTGTATTTCCCTTCATCATATTTTTTTATCCATTCTCCTCACTTTTTCCTCAACCATCTCTTTATAAAGAATAAAGTGTTGAGAGAGAGAGAGAGAGATGTGGTCAATATTACCGATCAAATACATGGATCCCATATAAGCTCTGAGGATACTCATTCCCACTTTCATAATCACAGATAAATCTCCCTGTCAGGTTCCTGGGGGTACCTCTGAGGTGTTGGTGGTGATTCTCATTAATGTCACTGACTCAAGCCCCCACTTATGAGCTTCCCCCCAAAATTATTAGGTGAGAATCATTTAATCAGACAGACAAGAATTTTTAAAGAAAGGACTAAGATCACACAGTAAGCACAACTGTGTGTTTGTGTTTGTGTGTATTCAACACCCCTTCATATAAAAGTGAAGTTCAAATGTAGTCCACTTATTTCAACCATTCCTCCATGTTTGTATAGTCTGATTATTTGAGATAGTACCACAGTGAATTAAAATGCGTATTTCCCAAATGATGACTTGTAATTGTACAAGGAAGCTTATTGAATTAGTCAATCACTGTTTTTTGTTTTTTTTTTTATCTTGGATACATCAAATGGATAGTGAAGTGGGGCCAGCATTGCACAGTAGATCAAGATGAACTGGGGCAGCTAGGTGGTGCGGTGGATAGAGCACCAGCCCTGAAGTCAGGAGGACCTGAGTTCAAATCCAGCCTCAGACCAAACACTTGACACTTACTAGCTGTGTGAGCCTGGGCAAGTCACTTAACCCCAATTGCCTAAAGATTTAAAAAACAATTTAAAAAAAGATGGATTGCATTTGTTATATTTTCAGAGCTTTCAACGATCTCAGCCTTCTTGCTACAACAAAAATCCATTTCTTTAACACTAATATTCTCTTGGTGATGCTACATAACTGTGAATGATGCCGGAATTGTTGTGGTTGAGTCATTTTTCAGTTGTGTCTGACTCTGTGAACACATCTGGGGTTTTCCTGGCAGAGATACTGGAGTGGTTTCCTTCTCCAGCTCATTTTACAGATGAGGAACTGAGGAACTGATCACTTGCCTAAGATCACACAGCTAGTAAGTGTTTAAGGCCAGATTTTAACTCAGGTCTTCTTGACTCCAGGCACATGTATTCCATTCCATGTTGTATCCTCCAGTAGATTAGACCCTCTCTCTCACTTATCTTTAATCTCTCCCTGTCCCTTGTCTGCTTCTCTTCTGCCTATAAATATGTCCATGTGTACTTCATCTGCAAAAAACCTCATTTCATCTAGCCATCCCTTCTATTGTCCCACATCTCTCTGGCCTTTTGTAGCTAAACTCCTTAAGAAGGCCATATATAACAGGTGCTTCTACTTCCTTTCCACTCACTCTCTTCACTCTCTCAAGTCTTGCTTCAGACCATCATTCAATCAAAACTGATTTCTTCATATACTAGTGACCTTTTAATTTCCAATTATGATGGCCTTTTCTCAGTCCTCATCCTTCCTGACATCTCTGTAGCTGCTGACATTTTCTACCACCCTCTTGGTTCCTGTTCTCTATCCTACCCATTTCACTGCTTCTCAGTCTCTTTCTCATCCAAGTCATACATGCTAACTGGGAGTCTTCCACCAAGCTCTATATTCTGGATCTTCTCTTCTCCCTAGATAAAATACTATTTCACCTGCTAATCCTGCAAGTCCCTGTGTATTCAAATATCATCTCTGTGCTGATGATTCTCATCTACTTATCAAGTCTTAACCTCTATGCTCACCTCTAGACTTCCATCTGCAGCATGTAGTATAGATTTAGAATTGGATGGCTTGTAGACATTTTTTAACACAATATGTACCAACCTGAACTAATATTTCCCCCTAAAATCTCCCCTATTCTTAACTTTGTTATTACAACTGAGTGTACTCCTCCTAGTAACCCAGGTTGCGAACCTAGATTTCATCAATTCCTCACTCTCTCTCACCCTCTATTTGTTGGACCAATCCATTACCTAGACACATTGATTTTACTTTCATTAAATCTTTCATATATAATTCATTCTCTCCTCTGAAACTGCCTGGGATAGCCCTTCATTACTTCATACTTGAACTATTGATTTGCCTTCAGATGGTCTCCCTGCTTCAAGTATCTCCCCACTCCATTCCTTCCTCCACTCAACAGTTAACATGATATTATTAAAGTGCAAGTCCTGTCATGTAACCTCCCCCTTCTCCCCTCAGCCAGTAAACTTCACTGGTTCCCTATCACCTCCATGGTCAAATAGAAACTGTTATTTATTTTTTTTTTGCATTCAAAACCCTGCATAACCTGCCCTTCATCCCCCACCTCTTTCAGTCTTTTTTTTCATCCTATCTCCCCTTTTCCCACACACTCTGTGGCCAGTAACACTGACCTCCTTGCTATTTCTTGAACGAGACACTCCATTTCCAAACTTGGGATATTTTCACTGACTGTTCCCCATACCTGGGTTGCTCTCCTTCCTCAATTCTGACTCTTGGTTTCCATTGTTTCCTTCAAATCTTAATTAAATCTCACCTTCTACAAGAACTCTTTTCTGATTCCCCCTTAATTCTAGTGCTTTCACTCTTTTGATGTTTTTTTCTCTATTTGATCCTGTACATTGTTGTTTGTATGCTATTTCCCCATTAGACTGTGAGATTCTTGAGATCAGGGATTTTGTCTTTTGCCTTTATTCATGTACAGTGCTTGGCGTATAGTAGGTACTTAATAAGTATTTATTAATTGAATATTCTAATCTGTATAAATTCCCTGACTTCTGTTTGCTTAGATAATTTGCTGTTTACTATTTGTGGTTGTCTTTTGTCTAATTAGCATTTAGTGGCAAGGGAATTGAGCCTTTGGATATAAGCTTTACACCTTACTTTTTAATGGATATATTTAAATGAAACTAGATAGATTTAATTCTAGCCCAATACCACCTTTCTGAGGACAGCAGACTAGACAACTTGGTGATACATTCTCCTGTTCTCTCTAGGTAGTCGTTAAAGTCTTCCTGGAAGAAAGGTAGGTGAGATTCCTCAATTATTATCCCAACCCAACCAGGAGCCATATTTAGACATACACAAAACCCATAAGAGCAGCAGGCATACTTTATACAAGGAATACTGGTTGAAGCTTAGGTTAAATATATAAGGTACTAAAATGATAATTCAATTATGTTGACTAATGAAATAAGAGAGGGCAAAGAGGACTTACTCCTATCTCACTTCTATCTTCCTAACCAGAATGATGGCATCCAGTGCCAAAGTCATGTACCTTTACCATCTTACCAATAGGCGTTCCCACTCCATAACCTTTGGAATCAATAAGTCCTCCAATCTGAGTAAGGTTGCAGTTTCTCTGAGTCACATACTCAATGCTGGTGGACTCCATCAGTAGAGCATAGTCGGTGGTGAGTACACGTTGGATACCTTCATCATTGTTTTTTACCAAGGCTGTCTGCTGCCTGCTGCTCATGAAAGCCCACATTTTCTCATAAGTGGATATCTTTGATTTCTGTATGGAGAGAAAGAATGTAGCAGTAGAAAGATAACAGAGAAAATACTCTGTACTTTTTCAAACTTATTTGTTCAAATAACACATAACAATCTCATCCTTTGCAAATGGGGACCCTAGGTACAAGGTAATGATTTTCAAACAGAGGAGCTGAAATAAGTATTAATAAAAGGAGATGATGTTTATTTTTATTGAATTATTTGCATTATTACCTCAATATTTGCAATATTACCTCAATCTCCTTTTTCTATTTTGATTAGATGGAGGAAAAGATTCTAGAATTAAAACAGCACATGCTTAATTGAAACTGAAGTACCATGATCTTCTGGAACAGCTTACTCACTGGTTCTTGGCCAAGGACTGAGGGTATCTAACAAGTGCTGGTAAAAATGTATTTGTCTTAGCATCTAATCAAAAGGGTTTTTAAATGGAAAAGAAAATGGTAAGGATAAATTGTTATTGTGTAATCACCAAGCTATATGTCCTGGAGAGTAGTTACAATAGCTAAAGAAGAATAGCAATGGTAAGATGCTGTGAAATTCCAGTAAGTATTGTTCAGTAATTGTTTTGGAGTATAATTTGTAGTATTTCTCAATTGTGAAAAATTGCAAACCCAGGAATAAAATTCTGCTGATGAAACTGAACTTTTTGGTGTGTGAAGACTCTAGGTTTGGGACAACTTGTGTCTAAAAGAAACAATTTGTTTTTGTTTTTCTCCCCTTGGGTTGTTAGGGAAACAACTTGAGAAGTGAGGAAGGAGTAAATGAGAAAGCTTAGTAGGATTTGGGGAACTTAGTGCCCACATGGCAAAAGCATTTTCATTTTTGCTTGTTCCTGAAAGAGAGAGTCAGACAGAGAGACAGAGACAGAAAGACACACAAGGAATGGCACACAGATAGCTAGATGGTGCAGCCACTTCTACCTGTCAGGACTGCAAACAAGGGTATAACTGAAAGAGACTGATAATGATTGTGGTACTTTTCTCTTTGGGAGGGCCAATAAAAGAAGTACTCTGCATTTCCTTTCCCAATCACCCAGCCTCACTGCTGTCCAAAATTGTTGCCCTATATTGTTTACTCTAAATTTTTCCTATTCTTTAATGTGTGTTTTGTGTTTTTAATTTGTATCATGGGTGGTTTAGATAAAGATATCATCAATCATAACTTATTTGGTTTAAGGGCATCTTTATTGGTGAACAGAGAGTTTGTTGTTACGTTGTTCATCCTTTGTTTTTGAAGAGATCCAATGATATCACAGTGATGTCTTGATATGCACATGAATTGGATTTAAGTGAAGCAAAGTTGCACAAAGTCATCAACCTCACTCTCTTCCAGAGTCATCAAAGTTCAGTGGTAAGACAACTAGCGATGGCTCCTGATGCAATGGATGACCGTGGCATCTTTGATGTCTGACCAAACTCTAAGTGCTCCACGGTGCCTGCTTCAGCTGCCTTCGTGGTAGTTGGAAATAATTGTTCTCATCCACCCAGTCTGCTGGGGGTGGTCTTCACATGCTTGGGGTAGACATCCCCCTAACTCACCAATGGGTTTGAGGCCTGTAAGTTACCCTCAAGTTACCTGTAGCCCATCTGCTGAAACAGTTTTACCAGAGTGTGGCCACTGCACATGCTATAGTTTCCTGGAGCCACACGTGAGAATTGGGTAAGAGATGGACACCAAAAGCTGAAAAGGGCTTGGCAAGGCCTCACACCTAAGGGGCTAGTCTTCCATGAGTACCCCATAGACCCCAGAGAGTTACAGAAAGATAAAAGCATTGTAGTTACCAAAGTATGAAAGTGATAAAGGCTCATAGGTTTGCACCCTTTATGAAATAATCTTATTAATATTTATCTCATTTTTTAAAAACCTTCTAAATTAGGACAAACCTGAATCTGGTTCTCTGCCCACTGAGGGTTAAAGAAAGTTGTTGGTAGTCTGATGATGCAGGCAGAGGAACTGGTGACCCTAAATCATCTGCCCTCTTCATTGTTTCCCCATCTAAACATGTCCATAGAAATCTATGGGGGTGGAGTTAAGGACAGGGACAAAAGAGGCCCTGCCTTATAAAAGGAGGCATGGAGTAGAGAGGGAGGATGGCCTTGTCTACATTACAAGGGTAGGGGCTTCCTCTTCACCTTAAACAAACCTCTACATCTTCACACTTGGCTACACTGTTATAGGGTTTTAATCCGGTCTGTATCTTTGTGTACCATGGTAAATTTCTTGAGCTCTCTCATTCAACTGAAACTGTTTTCTCCAAAGTTCTTTGTGATTTCAAACTCAGCAAATCCTTCTTGACCTCTCTCTGCAGTCTTTCAAACTGGAACCAACTTCTTCTTGATATTCTCTTCTCTCTAGGTTTTCCCTTTGTCACTCTTTTCTTCTTTCACTACTCCCTACTGAATTTCCTACCTATCTGACCACTATTTTTTAGTCTCTTCGTTTTAATTTCATATTTCAAGTGTTTTTTTTTGTAAGCTACATATTGCTGGATTATAGTTTCTATTCCATTCTGCTTTCTTCATCTGTTTTAGGTGAGTTCATCCCATTCAAATTCACAGCTATGATTGCTGTATATTTCCCTCTATCCTAGTCTATGATATTTGTCCTATTTTTTTTTATCCCGTCCCCTACTACTACTTCCCTTAATCTACCCTCCCCTCTCTTATCCTTCCCCTTTTTCTCTTACCCCTTTCACTCCTATTTCCCCATTGGGTAAGATGAATTTCTGCACTCAACTGCACATACATGTATATTCTTCCCTCCTTCAACTAGTTCAGAAGAGTGAGTTTCATATACTGCCTGCCCCCCCTCATTCTCTCTTCTATTATATAAATTCTTCCTTGCTCACTCCATATATGTGAGATAATTTTTCCTATTTCTATCCTTTCCCTTCTTTCTGCCCTCTCCCTCCTTCCTTTTTCTCACTCTTTCATTTTTCTTCTGAGATATAATCATGCCCATCCCCTCTGTCTAAGTAAACTCCCTCTAACAGCCCTAGTGATGAAAAACTTCTGCGGGGTTGAAATATATCATTTTCCCACATAGAATTGTAAACAGTTTGATCTCATTTAGTCCCTCCCAGTCATGTTTACCTTTTCATACTTCTCCTGAGTCTTAGATTTGAATACCAAATGTTTTTTATTCAGCTTGTTCTTTTCATCAAGAATGCTTGAAAGTCATCTACTTCATTAAACATCAACTCTCCCTTCACCCTCCATAAGATTATACTTGGTGTTGCAGGATATTTTTCTTGGTTTTGATCCTAGTTTTCCGCCTTCTGCAATATCATATTCCAAATCCTCTGTTCCTTTAAATTGTTGTTATTGTCCAGTAGTTTCAGTCATGTCTGACTCTTTGTAACCCCATTTGGTGTTTTCTTGGCAAAAATACTGGAGAGGTTTGCCATTTCTTTCTCCAGCTCATTTTACAGGTCAGGAACTGAGGCAAATAGGGTTAAGTGACTTGCCCAGGGTCACATAGCTAGTAAGTGTTTGAAGCTGGATTTGAACTCAGGAAGATGAGTCTTCCTGACTCCAGGACTGGCACTCTCTCTGCTATGCCACCTCCAGCCCTCCTTTAAAGTGGTAATTGGTAAATTTTGTGTGATCCTGAATGTGGTTCCTTTCTTTTTGGCTGCTTGTAGTAATTATGTCCTTTGCCTGAGAGTTCTGAATTTTGGCTCTGATTTTCCTGGGATTTCTTTTAGGGGGTACTTGATGCATTCTTTCACTTTCTACTTTGCCCTCTGATTCTAAGTTAGCTGGGTAGTTTTCCCTTTATAATTTCTTGAAATATGATGCCTAGTCTCTTTTTTGACTCAAGGCTCTTAGGTAGTCCAATGATTCTTAAATCATCTCTCCTTAATCTATTTTCCAGCTCAGTTATTTTTTCCTATGAGATATTTCATATTTTCTCCTATATTTCCTGTCTTTTGACTTTGTCTTATTCTTTATGTCTCATGGAGTCATGACCTTCCACTTGGCCAGTTATAATTTTCATGTAGTTTTTTTCTTCAGTGAGGTTTTGTACCTCATTTACTATTGGATCAATTTTGATTTTAAAACATTATTTTCTTCAGCAGTTTTAGATTGCTTTTACCACGCTGTTAATTTTCTTTTCATAATTTTTTGCATAGCTCTTAATTTCTTTTCCCAGTTTATCATCTACCACTCTTATTTGAGTTTTAAAATCATTTTTTGCTCTTTAAAAATTTTTTTTTAATTTTCTAGAAATTTTTGTTGAACTTCTGTCTAATCTGCATTTTTTTTTTTGAGGTTTGGTAATCGACATTTTCAAACCATTGTCTTCTTCTGTTTGTGTCTTGAGCTTCTGTGACACCATAGTAGCTTTATATGATCAGATTCTTTTTTGGTTTTGTTTTTCTTTGCTAATTTTTCCAACCTACTTATTGACTTTGGACTTTATATGGTATTTAGTTCTATTCACCTCTGGGAGAGTTTTCTGACCTGAACTTCTGTCTTCTTTGTTCTTTTCCTGCTTTCACAGATCATTCTGGGTGCTTGCAAATTTTTGGTGCTTCCAAAGTGGTATGATCCAGGGAGAGGTCAGTTCACTCTTTTGGATTATGTGTGGTTGAGTTGCTATAGACTGTTGAGGCACTCCACCACCACTGGCATGCTGGAATTTTCTGTAGGCTCTGAGCATCTGAACTACTGGCTCCCCCTTGGTTTTGGTCTTTTACCCCAGTTGATTCCATTGTAGGCTGATGTGCAGGACTAAAGGTTAGAAATTAATTCCTGCTCTACTCTTGGGCTCAGGGTCACACAGGCATGTACTTGTTCTTTCCTTCTTATGAAGATAGGCCCTCTTTTACCTTGTTACTGGGACCACAACCAGGACTGTCCTCTCTGCCCTGGAAATCTGATGCAGTACTGGGTAATGGGTGACAGAGCTGCCTGAAGACAGCCATTCCTGTACCAAGTACTAGTACAAGAGTCCTTGGTATCTCTTCCTGCCCATGCGTTCAGTGCCTTTACT